GTGCAAGCGGGGACGAGGGCATGCGCACGCCAAAGGTCGTAAGCTTGGAGGTGACTTCGGGAGCAAGAGGAGAGCCGGAGGGATTAGGGAGAAGGATTGTGAGAGGACCGGGCCAGAAGCGGGAAATGACCGAGTCGTAGATGGGTGGGATAGCGTTCTTCGCAGTGGTAGTCCTGCGCGATGGGCTTTCCTGTGTGGGGTTGAGTAACCGCTCCAACATCCCCAGCGAATCAACATGTATAATCAACGGGTTATCTGACGGCCTCTGCTTCGCCTTGTAGATCCCTTGTACTGCATCGCTTCGCGTCGCATCTGCACCCAGTCCGTACACTGTCTCTGTGGGGAAAGCAACGGGGATATCGCTGGTTCGGAGAAGTTGCGCCGCGTTCTCGATGGCGGCCGCTTCCGGGGTATGGTTATCGCGTTCGTTGGCCCACCACTCTGCGAGGGACCGGTCTCCGGGGCCTTCGTTGTTGAGACGGCGAACCGATGCGATTCGGGTGGAAGCTTTCGGCGACATGGTTGCTGTTGCTGGAGCGGTGGAAGCGGATCTAATGAAGCTGCGCGGGAGACCGCGAGCAGTAAGGCGAGAGAGGAATAGAACCAGATTGGCAGGTGATATTCGTTCCCCGAACAGAGCAGAGGAACGAGCGATCGTGGGGTGAGTCACGGCTTGTAGATTAAAGCGATACAAATTTCTCGGTAGTGGGGGGGAAGAGGAGAACGGGTATCGCGCGTTTCGAGGTTATTCGGTCATAGGCAAATCCTGATTCGGGGACCTCCTGTCAGGCTGCTCCACCAGGTGTGTACGGCCCGAGCGATTGCTGCCAGACGAATGAGCAATTGGCGACTAGGATGTATGCTGGTTTGCTGAACTCTGTATGTCAGAGAAAAAAAGTGCAGATCGAATGGAAAATCTTCGCGATGACGTCGATTGGCGTGACTAAGCAGCGCAGTCCAGATTCGGCCATTTCTCTAGTTTCCATCAATGCTTTAATTGTACGTCGAGAACGCACTGGAAGAGATAGACAATATGTCTAGATATGCCTCGTTTGCATAGTGTCCACTATATGCATATGCTGTGATCGCCTATAGCGTCACAGCTAACCAACTAATACAGTCATACTCTGGTGTTTTCCCCCAAAGTACCTTGTAGATCATCCACCATGTAGATCATAGGAAACCCAATCCTTATGTCCAGCCTCTATTTCTTCTTCCCTCCCTTTCCTCCCTTGTTTCCACCACCGCCACCTTTGCCTTTGCCCTTGTCACCTCCGCTAGGTGCTGGCCCAGCCATAATGCGCACCTTACCGACAGGAACGCTATTGATGACCTCCGTGTCCTTCCACATTTTGATCAGATCTCCTTCCTTCGCGCGGAGCTTCTCAGCGGTGGCACGATCGATTCCAGCATCTTCGGCGTGTTCCTTCTTGACCTTGCCTGTTGTAGTTTCGGCAACCCAGCGTCCGATGATCTCCTTGACAGCCTTGCCCTTCTTCACGGTACCCGGCTGCAACTTGATGCGATACTTGTACCGACCCAGGGCGGCCCAAGGAGCGCACACAGGAATAGCAGCCAGGATTTCATCTTCCGGATGAGGAGTTCCAATCAATGCAGGAATCCACTCCATGTCTGCTGCCTCTGCTGCGGCAGTTTCTTCGTCGTAGTCATCGGCACCACCCTCAAAGAGAGCCTGTCGTTTCCGCTCTGCTTCCGCCGCGCGTTCATGCTGTGCTCTGCGTCGTTTCTTCGCTTCTTCAGCTTCTTTCTGACGCTTAGCCTTTGCTTCAGCTTCTGCAGCTGCCTTTTCGGCTTTGGCACTCTTGGCACCTAGCAAGCGTAGAGCCAGTTCCCGATCCTCCTCATCCTGATCAGCGTACTTGGCTGCGGCCTTCTTTGCTTTGCCTCTCTTACCCCGAGTTGGAGCTTGCTTGGTGTTGGCAGATTTGGCAGAGGTGCCATTCGCTGCAGGTCCATCCAGCTCTGACGCTCTTCCCTTCCTAGCCATTCGTCTTTCTCTAGCTGAGAGCTGTCGATCATCATCTTGAGTCTGTGGCGATATCGCGCTCTCGTCCTCGTCCTCACCCTCAGCTGGCTCTTCCTGGGCGCTTTGCTCGTCTTCATTGTTGCCGTTCGGTTCTTCGGCTTCGTCCTTGTTTTCCTCGTCAGCTCCCTCATCAGCCTGGGCGTTCTGGGATTCGTTCGCCGCAACCGATTCTGTCTGGGTAGGCTCTGACGACCCGCGTTGCAACGGGTTCCTAGCTGGGATCGCAGCATCGTCCTCTTGTTCCCCTTCAGACTCGCTGCTCTGCTCCTGCTCCTTCTCCGCTTCAGTTGGTTCCTCGGGCTTAGTAATCTGCGCCTCTTGCTCGACGCGCTGGCCCTCAACTTCCTTGTCGGCTTCCTGAGCTTCCACAGACGTTTCCGTAGCCACGGGTTCATCGAAACGGTGTAGCTTATGGTTCCGAAGACTTTCCTTGCTCACTTGGAACATGACACCAAATCCTAGAACGAGCTGTGAAGGGGCCAGGAAGTTCTTCTCACCCTTTATAAGGAACTCGCCGGTGGGAAGGAGGCCTCCCGCGTCAGCAGTCTTGCTAACTTGACTCGCGGTAACCCAGTATGCTGACATGATTGCCTTGGAATCCCAGGCGCTGGACGTAGCCACGCAAAGATTACCGGCTTGCGAAAGGGTGCTTGGGGGAATGGGTGCGTTGGGTGAGTTCGATCGGTTCTTAACGATCATCGGCGTAGCACCTTGTAGATCGGCGTGCACAAATACATCGCCCTTCTTAAGGTATCGGCGGTAGAGAATCTCGCTTTGCATCGCATCGCGGCCACTGTTCAAGTTAGATCAGACCAAACTCTGCAGACCTGGTGATAAAATACATACCCCAAGACCAAGTATCCTTCCGACGAGATGAAGAAGAGGAACTTCTCAAACCAAAAAGTCTTTCTAGCAGGCCGAAGAACCTGCTTCTCCTGCTTCAGACCCTTTTTCAAGTCCTGCGTCACCTTCTTCTCGTGACTCTTGAGCGCCTTGGTCGAGGACTGCGTTGTCTTCTGCTCCTTGACGGCAGCCATTTTCTTCTGTTCATAATACTGCGTTGCGTTCGCCCAGGGAGAAAGACCGAGATCAATGTCAATTGTCAGCATGTTGTTTGACTGTTTTTGGGCCTTTGCAGCCTCTTCCTGCTCATCATCCGACTCAGACTCATCGTCCGAGAACAGGTCCTCGCCTTCGTCCTGCTCTTCGCCCGACTCTCCAAGCATCAAGGTTATTGTGTTCTCGTAGAGCTTCAATGGCAGCTTGATGATATTGGCCACTGGGTTTCCTCTGCCTTGCTCCATCTCAATGAGACGGGCAATTTCGACCCAGTCCATACCCTGAGCAATCAGGCCATTGACTGCGTCCATCGCTTCTTGAACCCGGTAGACATTATCTTCGATTGCTCCTGCCTTGCGAATATGCAATTCCTGAACCTCCTTGAGAGCGCCAATGCGCTTCGCATGTTCCTGTCGGACAGCCTCAAGCTTCCTCTTTGCAGTCTCTTCCCGCTCCGTAAGCCGCGACTCCAACTTTTGCGTTTCAATGGACGAGAAGTACTCGTCAACAGTCGCGTTGAAAGACGGGTACTCCAGAATAGTAACACCCGGCTTGCCCTCAAACTGCTTAGGCTTAAATGGGTGGAAATCTTCATACAGATACCCCGGTTTCCGCGCAGCGTCCTCCTCACCCTGAGCTGGTGAGTCCGCAGACGGACGAGTATCCTCCTTCGCAACGATATAACCCGGATGACTCTTCTCCGTAGCCAGCTTATCCGTCTCAACCTTCGCCGCCTCCAGCACATGCACAACCTTCGTCAGAAGCGCCTCATCCTGGAGAACCTCGTCGAGCGGGGTAGCGGGGTCCAGCTCCTTCACAGCAAACGCATGGTCCAACAACAGGGGCGGATACTCCGGGAAACCCTGGGACAAAGCCTTGCGAAGCACATCCGCATTCTTCTTCTTGGACTTCTTCGGTGCACTGCCCTCCTGTGAAAAGAGGGCCTTGGCTTTCTCCACCGTCTCCTTAACTCTCTCCCTTGTGATATCCGGAACACCGTGATAATTCTGCTTGTTGGTCACCGTATACTTGACTCCGACGCGAGTCTCATCCTGTCCCTCGCCAGCAGGTACCTGCCGGAACAGCGCGAGGATATTGTACTCGCGATCGGTGATGATGATGTTCCCGCCGGCAAAGAACTCCAGGAACATGTGGTACATGCCATCGCTGAAGGAGAAGTCGATGATTCGATCCGTGCCGATCTGTTCGATGGAGGTGATTCGGCGAGATTTGAGGAACTTGCGCATGCGCGTCACGAAGGGCGTGGGCGCTGAAGCAGTCGCTCGGGAGTATTGAGTGACATGGCAGCGGAAACCGGAGTCGACGACGAGTTGTTTGCGGTGGTCGGGTTTGGCGACTTTGAAGAGGAAGATGCGCTGGATGGATTATGGATGAGCTTGCTTGGAAATAACTCTCATATTTAGAAGGGGCTAACATACCGAGGAGAGATCGTAGATGTTCGAAACTCGCAGATTGACTATCTCCGATGCAAGTTCCTGGGAGATGACCTGGCAGTTGTTGTGTAAGTTTCGTGCGCGGCAGTTGCGAACGGTGGGGTGTTGCTCGGGCTTCTCACCTTGACATCCAAGGACGAGAATCTCTGCTTCATCTTCTGGAGACCTTTTTCCTGTTTCCCCGAGGAGCGAGGCTGTTGCGCTGGGTTGATGCGGTGGTTCAAGAGTTTTGCAGAGTGACTCCGAACTTGCGGGCGTGACGTATGCGGGGCGCTTTTTCGCCTATGGATGGCATTGCTTTCCATGACTGTCCATTGCTTTCACCTTATCGGCTACTAGTAGTAGTTAGTATATACTACAATCATGTCCACTTGCAATGCAAGTTGTATTGCAATATGGGTCTGCATGCAAATTAAGCATATTCTCTTTACTAGTATGATGCTTAGTTCATTCTTGCTGTAATTTGGTTGTCGCCCGTCCGTTATATATATAGTACGAGCCTCTAGACGATCTCTCACCATCCCAGCTAAGACGCACAATGTTTCGCAGCAAAACACCAAGGAGTATCTCTATAGGTACCTCAAGCCTCTGCAACAAAAAAATGCGGGGGCAAATAGTAGTAGTAAGAATGTTAAAAATGGACATGATTTCCACAATGAGCAAGCAATGCGCACAAATACCACGCCAGGACCAGCCAGATTAGATAACAGAAAGACATGACATGAAGAGAATAAAGATGAAAGCACATCAGGATGCATCAAATAGAGAATTGCAGAATCATCAACGTCAATTACATCTGCCGCAACCCCTCCGCCAGACGCCGCTTTCCAAGCTCCCAGGCATTCATCAGACCTTGTTCGGACAAGTCGATGCTCTTCAAGTTCGGTGCATCTGGAGCAGGAGCGCGGCTGACGCGGGAGGCGATCAGCACTGGGTCGGTTTCCAGAATGATTCCATCGTCGATAATCTCATCGATGGCCAGGGCGACCAGGTCGTAGTTCTCGACGATTGTGCGCTTGTCGGTTGCGCCCCTGAGGAACAAAGTAAGTTAGCTCAATTGATCTATCCCTATCTCACTTGGGTAATAGAGGCCATGCATACTTGAACAAGATTCCCAAGGCATCTCTTAGAGACAGAACCACGTTGTACAACAGCACTTCGTTCTCGTCGGCACTTCCCACCACATAGAGCATCACATCGCTCTCCATCTTGAAGACGACTATCCGGTTGTCGTAGAGGATCACATCGCTGGTCTGCTTGTTGGTCTTTTCGAGGAGGCCTTGTTCGAATGCCTTCTGCTCTTTTACGGTAGGGTAGGGGTTCGCTCCGGGGTAATCGGTCGAGTTGGGGGCAGCACCGGCCGGGGGATGAGGAGGGGAGTAGTACTTGGCGAAGATGCGAGAGCCATCGTCGGCCGACATGAGAAGGACGGCATTGACGGAGAAAAGCGAAAGAGAGCCGGGCATGGTGGGCAATGGTTCAGGGATGTCGGTTTGGTTAACGTGGTGACAGCTCCGGGGAGGCTACAATGAGACTCCAACTATTTACCGTCAAGCTGGCCGCAATCCGGGCGCCGCTCGAACTTTGTTCCGGGGTATACGGGAGGGACATCAGCCACGTCTTTTGATTAACCTTTCAATTTAATCAGGTGAGAGAGTCGGACAATTTCACTTGTATAAATCTAGCATCGCTTTTTTGGTACTCTGACATCTAGGTACTATGTTGGTTATAGATTCATATTTACTTACTGGCTCTATAATACAAAGGTCTAGACAACATCATTAAACAACAAAAAAACACAAGACAATTTCACTCGGGGATCGAGGTATATAGACCATAGGTATGTTCATCATATAAGGAGGGGCATAAACAAGCAAAGCAGATTCGTCGCGTCCAAGAGTAGTCTGTGGAGGGGGTAAAAATGAGTGTCCAAGCAGTACCCAAGTCAGGCATCATCACAACGTTTCAATGTGGTCGTCTATCACATTTCCAAAATTCAATCAAAGCAAATAAATGGACGCGAAAAAAGTGCCAGATGCTCGAAGGGGGGCAACCTGGGCCATAATGGGCTCAACACCAGTATGATGATCAACACCGAAGAAGAATGGTAAGAGTTTAACCGTAGTGGTCAACAACCCGCCATCAAGGGCTTAGAAGATCATGCAGATTAACCGTGAATAACACAAAGCACAGAATATGTCCCTATATGCAGGCGGGTGGGTTTGCCACACATTTTCCACGAGACCGACACGCTCAGGTTGAAGGCTGGGTGGCCTCGCTAGGGTTGGGACGGTTGAACCAGGGGATCCAACTGCCCCGGTTAGCCTTCTTTCGGGCAGCTTCTTCTTCCTCGGCCAGCTTAGTCTCGCTGACTAGGCGCAGGGGACGCAGTTTGTTCTGAGTCATGACAGCCCCAGTGTAGTTGGTCATGCCGGTGCTAGAGCGGGGAGAGCTGGAGGTTGCACCGGTGGATGCCGTATCACCAGCGGGGTCGCTCGTGACACTATCCGAACTGCTCAACCGGCTGTGCTCAGGCTGACTGGAGAGTGAAGGCGCACGACCACCGGTACTCATACTCGACATGATACTCGCGCTGGAGAATGCGCTTTGACGGTTTCCAGGTCCCATGAGAGTAGGGCTGATCGGGCCACCCGAGTTGCGTCCCCGATACATCTGACCCACGACGGATGCTGCTCCAACGTCCGTTTGTTCCGACCTTGTGCGGCGGTGACCGCGAATTGACCCAGCACGAAGGGGAATGCTAGGTGCCGTCTGCGGGTTCTCGTGGGCGGTGGGCACACTGGTGGGTGGAGGCATATAGCTCGTGGGACGTGACCGCGGCTGAGTCGAAGGCCTAGGAGGGTTCGGGTTCGGGCCTGCAACGACTGACTTGGCGCGCTGGAGGAAGGTCTGCTGCGCATCATCCTTCTCCGGGGGGGTTGGCGGAAGTTCTTTGTTGCTGTGCGCAGGCATCGGCTTGGAAGGGGGGTCGTTTTCATTCTTGTCAAGAATGGTCTCGAAACCATCATGCTGCAGGAGGCGGCTGATAATCCGCTCGATATAGAGGGTAAGGGCCTTGTTCTGGTCCTTCAGCGCCTTGATCTCCGTCTCCAGCTTGCGGGTGTTGTCTGTCTCTGCTCGAGCATCGACGGATTCTAGCTCGTCAGCCAACGAACCCAAGCCACTGCCAGGCTCCTTGACGTCCTCGGCAGTGTCCGGGTGAACTTCCCGCATGAAGTCACCCTTTGTGAAATCACCATTGAGGGTTCTCTCACTAAGGAGTAATTGATAGCTCTCATTATCCTCCATCAAGCGGGCATTCGCCATGCGAGCTTCCAGAAGCTCTTTCTCCAGCTCCCGCTGTCTGCCACCGCCCTTGTTCTCCATCTCGACAAGCTTGATCTGGGACTCAGCCAGCTCAAGCCGAAGAGACTCAATCAACTTATCCTTCTGCAAAAGCAGCTTCGAGTTATTGCGGGAAGGGCTTCTCTCGATCTGGGAAGAGGGCGCGAATTGACCATCGACATCCGGTGATGCCCGGTTACGGAAACTGGCTATAGGGGGCATGTTAGCAGGTTTCACACTAGACGAGGACAAAGGAGAAGAAGAAGAAATGATCTTCTTACATGAGCGAGACACACTTTTATCCGAATCGGCAGCATTTGCCCGCTCTTTCTGGGCCAGCGACTCCTTCAGACGTTGGATGGTAGCCTGCATCTCTTCTTCACGACTCGCCTGCTGTTCCTTCTCCTGCAGCATGGCATTCCGCTCCAGTTCGTGTGCCTGTTCGAGATCACGAATCTGGCGAACATGGTCACGGATCTCGCCATTCAGGGCCTCAATCTTGCTATCCCTCTCATGGCTCTGGTCCTCCAACTTGCCTTGCTCGCTCACCGCCTCATCGAGGCGCATCTGGAGGACACCCAACTGCTTGCGATACTGCTCCGAGGCGGTCTCCGCCTTTTGCAACTGCTCCTTGAGATCATCAATGAGAGCAGCGGTCTGGGCCCGGGCCTCTTCATCGGATTGATTGGGCGTAACTTTGGGGGCACTGGATGTGCTCAGGTTGGAGCGACCGGGTTTCCGAGCCGCAGCCCGCGCAGAGACCGGAGTCGAAGCACGGAGGGACGGGGAACGAGTGACGCCATTTGTTGAAGCACTGGGAGAGCGGGTGTGCGTTCGCGATGCAGTGCCGCTGGCTGTGTGACTTTCTGCAGTCGAGTTTCGATTGGAATTGCCCGGGGTACTGGGCTTGCGAGGCGTCGCCGACATGATTACCGACAATGGGGTTCACACCAGAAACGTAGAATGATTCCAGAAGACGCAAAGCGGCCCAGAAAGGGGAAGGAGAAGAAAGGCCTCTGGGGCTTTAAAACTGGTATGAAACAGCCGGGAAATTAAGTCGATAAATTTAAGGGACAGCGGCCGAGAGGTTGTAGCGGTCAAAACACAGTGGGCACACTAGGTGACCTACTATCTCGGTGGGGGATGGCTCAGAATGGCTGGCCACGGCTAGCCTCTTTCCAGAACCACCAAGTAAGGATATTGGGGGGAGGGTAGTAGTATTTAAGTAGAGGACTGGGGGGAAGTTGAGGAATACGATCGCAAGTTAGGGATGAATCCGACAAACATGCGAAAGAAAGAGAAAAAGCTTGAAGGGGTGGGAAAGAAAAAGGAATAATAATGGGAACAGGTGGGCGCATTAATTGTTCGATTGGGTTGATGGGCACGATACAATGTCCACGGGAGTATGTATGGGAACGGCCGTATTCAGTAGTCTAAGGCAGGTCTAAGGCCCCAACTTACCGTACGTTACCCGTTGGGCCCTTGTTGGCCTGGGGATCTCTCCATCACGGGTAACTTTTTATGTCGCTGTGAGGTATCGATAATTACCGACGTTACATAACCCTTCTCCCCTATTTCATCACCGATTGAATGACTAACACCGGACTAGTTATGCTCTGTATAACTGTGTCACTCACTCATGACTTATTCAATTCTCATTACTTCTCCCGTCACATCCATTTCCATCTGTCATCGTGGCTCGCCTGGAAAGTGGCAATGCCAACTCCAACTCCGGCGACAAGGCAGCACCAATACCAAACAATCCAACTGGGGCCCCTCACCTGGTCGACAACACGGAGCCAACACATGGCAACGTTTAAAGATAGTAATTTCTCACCAACCCTCCCTTGGGGTTCCTTGCGGCACACAGGGTCCAGCCATCTGTCAGTCTTAAGCTGAGTCGACCATCGTAATCCATCGTCGCAACCACCCTTACCATCCAATCACCTATTTCCGCCCTCAGGGAAGGGGGGCCGGACAAAACTTACTGTACATCCTGCGCCACGTCCGTGGTGACGGTTCCGGCCATGCATCGAGATCAGCAGGGCTGTCTCCGGGCCACTTATGTAAGGCTCTTCACTCTGCATGTATCAAGTACAGTTACCTGGACTACAAGATGCAGCTGTGGAGGTTTGTTTGATGCTGAATTGTAAGGGTGTGGTTGTTATTCTTGTACTCCCATCGATGTGGCCCAGGCATTGTAGGGGAGCGTAATATAAGGTTCTCCTACCAGGATACTCAATAGATACATATCTAAGCGACCGGTCTTGTGACAGTAGACAAAGTAAAATTAAAGTAACCATCTAATTTGCAATGCCCACCGCGTTGACCTGCTTGTCAACTTTCCTTTCAAGGAATCTGCTCCGTGACGTGACAGGCCTAGTAGTATGCTTCTGCTGGCTAGTATATATCAAGAGGGTACTCCAAATATTATACCACAACCCCTGAGAACCCCAATCCTACTTACTGTGTATTAACTACGTATATTTCCTGGCTGACCATGCCGTAAAGCAATACCGCGATGGACCTATAAACCGGACAGTAATAATAACGCTCATAAAGCGCAAGTGTCTACCTGCCACGTTAATATGGCTTCTCACGTATAGCACGGCTGGACCCCTATGTCTGGCTCCACACCAATCAACAAATAGGCAATACAAACGAAACAACCATCGTGGTATGAATTGGCTCGGGCTTTGTAGCTCCAACTGATAGGAAGATACGGATTGATGCATCGGAGTATATATTTGCCTCACAAAGTAACTTTCTCATTAGCATGCTCATGCTCATACTGGGACTTACTATGTATCTGATAAAACAACACCGATAGCCAAATCATCAGTAATATAGGCCTCGAACGCTAGAGCGAGCATCACTTCCGACTCAAGAACAAATGAACACAATCAACTCCCGCCCATGGGAACTCCTCCCCGGTTCCAGGTTACCTTTCAAAACCTGAGCAGTATAATACATGGCGGGATGGATTTCCGTCTACTACATTCATCCGGAGAATCCTCACTCTATCTCGGTAGACAATAACGGTTAGACAAATAAAGCGATTGGCTATCCATCGTGCGCTGCAGAGACTACGAATATTGGTTTCTAGGAACAACAGATATAGGGTCTTAGATCCCCACCACGTGGGAGTTGGCTCCTTACTGACGTCCAGGACTGCAGCCCGGGCAACGGATTCAGATCAATCTTATATATGACATAGTCAGGGCTTGATAAAATATGAAAGTGAAAATCAGATCTCCCACTATACCGGTGAGTGAGAAAGAAGTGAGGGATAATGTAAACAATCAGTCTTGATGTAGGAAGTACTAGAATATATCCGGATCCACGATATACCGTGATAAAAATATTCGAGATACATCACAAGAGATTGACTACCAGTAAGTATTTAAACTCTCAGATTTATGTTTCTCTCACGGCGACCTCTGCTATCGACATTCATCAGCTGGCAAAATCTACATAGTAGCTCCGCTTCTTCCCATTGATAGAACTGCATACTCTCGGTTGCAATTTACCGACTGAGGGACACTAGAAACAAATTTGAGGTGTCAGCTCTGAAGTATCAATTCCGAAGACGAAAAGACAACTAGAATGAAGGTGTACTAATGTCCTGCCTCCTTCACGTGCACATGCAGTGAAGGAGGAAACCGGGCAGCCATCAGGCCGCCAGGCAGCGACCCTCACCGCCCATTACTGTGCCGGTTGAGAATCGATCACGTGAAACACAACCTTGGAAGCGGAAAGATGAGTCAGCCGCCGCGGAACGGAGGAATTGTCACCCGACATTTGTCAAACCCACAAAAAAAGAGTGGGTGATAGGTTTTCTTTTACCATCCCAATCTCAAAAGACGAGGCCGGAGCGCACTTCTCTCAACAACCACATTAAACCTTTAGGTATGTGGTATTTCCCCGCAAGCCACGGCTGATTGCCCGTTGTTTTTGATCATGGTCAAAAATATTTTTGTCATGCTCAAAAAGCGGTAGCATTCAGTAGTGGGCTTTGAAATAGCGGAGTGAACAAATGCTGATTGAAATTGATCATGCAGAAGTTTAGTTAACTTCAGCGTAACGATGGCCCCCAAGAGCAAGAAGACCGGTGACACCATCAACTCGCGCCTGGCGCTTGTGATGAAGTCCGGAAAGGGTATGTTATATCAGAATTTGCAAGTTCAGACAATCTAGACAGTCTCTAATCGTGCCATCTAGTCACCCTCGGCTACAAGTCCACCATCAAGACCCTCCGCGTGAGTACACCGGATATCTTAGGCAATAGCCGTGCAGAACGTCAGTGAATGGTCGACTAATAATCTCAACAGTCCGGCAAGGCCAAGCTGGTCATCATCGCCGCCAACACTCCCCCCCTCCGCAAGAGTGAGCTCGAGTACTACGCCATGCTCGCCAAGGCCCCCGTCCACCACTTCTCCGGAAACAACGTGAGTGACCACGATCCGTCTGTTTGGGATCTCTATGGAGCGGGGTCTCGACCTAGTTCTGGAACGACTTCTTCCAATAGAGATCACAACGCAAAGTTGGAGTATGCGCTAACATCGTGAACAGATTGAGCTCGGTACCGCCTGCGGTAAGCTCTTCCGTACCTCCACCATGGCTATCCTCGATGCTGGTGACTCCGACATCCTGTCCAGCCAGTAGGTGTAAAGCCTGGTCAATGAATTCATGTTATGTCTGAACGGCGGTATGCCATGATGCACAACGTCACGGCACGATTTAGATAATGACAATGAACTTTACATCTATATTGGGTTTCGTTTTAAATGCTGTAGGATAAGATTGTAGGAGTGATCAGGAAGATAGCACGGTCGCATCACTAAAGAACCGGGGGAAGAGCGGCAGCTCGACTCCACTCTATGAGTCACATGATAGAAGTCGAGGCATTCTGATAATTATAAAGCAGCTGAAAGTCATGACATTCCATTCCGCAGTAAAACATGTTTCATTTACAGCTTAGAAAGATTGATATATCAGTCTGAACAACCCAAGAATGTCGGAGTTGCCGTAGTCTGACAAATGCGTCATAGCGTCTACGGAATGTGATTGGCGGAGAGGGTAGGGTTTAGGGCTGTGCCACTCGGTAGCGGGCGCTTGCTTGGAAATCAACGTGGAAAGTGCCTGCGCCCATAATCCCCCTTCCCTTTCGCCTCCCGACACCACCTTTTTCGACAACCTCACCGTTCGCAGGAAGTGCAGCCGCCCCATTTCCAGCAGTCAAGATGGCCCGTCGTCCCGCGAGATGTTACCGCTACTGCAAGAACAAGGTGCGTTCGACCGTTTGATGGATTTTTGTGCGTTTTTGTGGATTTTTTTGGATGGGATCTTGTCTTGTGGGGAGCATTTGTCAACCAACACCAACGAGGATACGCGCTATGAAGAGATGCTCAGGATGATGGATATCATGTCTTGCCCGACGAAGGATGGAAAAGGTGTACCAGACAAGGATGGAAATGAATACTGACATGATCCTCGAATGACAGCCCTACCCTAAGTCCCGGTTCAACCGTGGTGTTCCCGACCCCAAGATCCGTATCTTCGATCTGGGACGTAAGAAGGCCAACGTCGATGACTTCCCTCTTTGCGTTCACCTCGTCTCCAACGAGTACGAGCAGCTGTCCTCCGAGGCCCTCGAAGCCGCCCGTATCTGTGCCAACAAGTATGCCGACCCGCCGATTCCACTACGCTCAGCCCTCATCTACTAACACATATATCCAGGTACCTCGTGAAGATCGCCGGTAAGGAAGGTTTCCACCTCCGTGTCCGTGTGCACCCCTTCCACGTCATCCGTATCAACAAGATGTTGTCTTGCGCCGGTGCCGATCGTCTCCAGACCGGTATGCGTGGTGCCTTCGGTAAGCCCCAGGGTACCGTTGCCCGTGTGAACATTGGCCAGATCATTCTGTCCGTCCGCACCCGTGACGCCAACCGTGCTGCTGCCATCGAGGCTCTCCGCCGCTCCATGTACAAGTTCCCCGGTCGCCAAAAGATCATCGTCTCCAAGAACTGGGGTTTCACTCCCGTCCGCCGCGAGGACTACGTCCAGCTCCGCCAGGAGGGCAAGCTCAAGCAGGACGGTGCCTACGTCCAGTTCCTGCGTGGCCACGGTCTCGTTGAGGAGAACATGAAGCGTTTCCCCGACGCCTACGAGAACGTTTCTCAGGCTTAGATGGATGTTAAGCGCTTTAGGACACGAAAGAAAAAAAGACGTATTGAACTATTCCCACTTTTCATGTCCTGTTTGTTATCCTTGATGTCATTTAGTCACCGTATGGGGCGGAGTTATTTAACGCGGATTTCCTCGGCTTGCATGGTTGCACAGTAGGATGATATCGTAGGACGGAGTAGTCGTAGTTCTATCAGCTTTGAGTGATGTCAACCCAATGGTAGCCTGTTCAGCTTATGAAATCGTCTTCCTGGAAATTCAAATGATATCATATCTGTGCTATCATTAAGCCAATGTATTCGAAATGTACTAGTAGTACTACTGTCGATGAAAATGTCCATCTAGCATTGTAGTAGTACTAGACCCTCTGTAAGATGTTGATTTGTATTTGTTGATTGACAAATACCAAATGTCAGACTACTAGCGTACAATCAATCCCATTTGATATTGTTACCAGATTCTATGAACTTAGCCGGATCACCATACAGTAGAAGATCTTACTGTAAGTAGTCCTGCTGGGAGTTGCACAACCTTTACTAAGTATACCACATCTTCATCCTTAACCCTATCTGCAAGTATCTCAGCACTATAAACCATTTATATCTTCACCATCTTCTATCTATACACAACATGAGATAGACAGACTAATAGTAATATTTACCGAAGTTGCAAGCCTACACAGGCAGACATGACCGAGGGGCTGAAGACTACACAGTACGAGACGAACGCCACAGCTGAAAGAGCGGGCACCGCAGTCGAGAACTCAAGCGAGCAAACCCCTGAACTGACAGCCAGCCCAGCCTCGCCTCGCCTTGGGCCATGCAGGCAACACGGAGGAATGATGACATGTCATTGAGATCAGAGCCTAGTGGAGAGCGATGGGGTGATCAACACTGGCTGATCCATTGATGGCTTGACCTTTCTCTGTTTTTTTGTGGAGAAGCCAGTCAAAATCAGGAGAGAGAGATGCACACACCGCGAGGTACGAAGCACACCTCTCATCGTGTCGGTCGGTGGGTTGAGGTGGCAGCAATAGGAACCTTCCACAGGAAGTACTTGTACTCCGTACACCATAGGGAGTGGTGATATCGAGACTCGACAGATCCCGCAGACAGAACGTCGATCAGCCGATCGTCACCATGCAGTTGATCGGATTCGATAGTCAGCGTCACCTCCTCCTTTCTTTTCCGCCCCAGCTTTCTACTGTATGTATTTACAGGGTGTTTAGTCTGGATGCTGGTCGGGGATGGGACACTATTGACAAGACTATTATTTATAAAGTAGACAAAGAAAACGCCAGAATAAGAAGGAAATCCTTGTTCTGACTGGAACTGTGGATAAGATTGTCCCGTCGATGGATTTAAACTTTTTCCTCGTTTTGTTTCAGAGAGAGAAGAAAACAGAGAGAGAGAGAGTTCCTGCAATTATCCACCCACCGACCCGGTCTGGTGACTGGCATCATCCGGGTTCATTTCGTCCGGTTGACTTGTTCGTCTTGTCTACCATACTTGGTCTACCCATTAGTAGTACTTTTCTACTAACTGTCTCTTCTTCATCATCATTAAAGAGGGGAATCATTTCCTGTGTCAAACCCCTCCTCCTCCTCCTCCCAAGGACCATGGAGCATTTCTTGCTGGCTTGAACCTTCGCCTTATCTCCTCCCTCCCACGTCATCTCCGACTCATCTGCGAGTAGAGGCCCTCGCGTCAGCAATCACCGCTATCGGATCTTTCTGGCCATCTTTCCTTTTGCTTTTTCTCCCCCTGCAGGCCTCGAGACGCTTCTCCTGCCTGACTGTCCAACTTTTGGGTGGCATTTAGACTTGCTCGTGGCTATATAGCCTATCCCTCCCTTGCCTCATTGCCATCTGTTCCTATCTCAGTCTCTCCGAACACGGTCACGCGGGGAAGATCCACCGCGCGATCGATAACTGTTCTTATCTCGCTATCTGCCTCTCCCTCCCCTCTCTCCCCCCAACCTCCAGCCACTTTGATTCTTGCTGCTATCGCCCCATCGCTCCCATCTGCCAAGTCAACCCATGGCGTTTCGTCTACCTCCCCAAGTCCCCCGTCGACGCCCTTCCTATTCCAACTCCCTCCCCTCTCCCGCCCCCGATATCACCTCGCCCCTCTCGCTACTACCGGAGAACGAAGCTACAGAATGGGTGCTCTTCTCACCGACCCAACAACCCTCCACCACCGCCCGCACGCATACCACCTCTACTGATCGCACCCCACGAACACAAGGCGTCTCACGCTTAAGTGATTTTGGTTCGTTTGGCACGGCAACTCGATCTGCGATCGGCCCAGAAAGCGAGTATGTCGGTGACGCTCTCGATGAGCCGCTGGATGATGACGGGACGGAACTAGATAGTCTGGATGATGGATTGCACGCTTTTCGAGCCCCGTCCTTGGTACAAGAAGACCAAGGGGCTCCTGCGGTTCTTCCAGCCCATGATGGACTAGGCAGTTTCCAGGCTTCTAGCCAGGCTGTACAAAATCAGTTGTGGCAGCACGAACAGTACAATCCCAATCGGAGACCCGACCTACAGCCACGCCGACGCTCGAGTGTCCAGCGTCAGTTGGACATGTTCGGAAATGAAGAAGAGGCGGACATGGAGAGAGAACGGTGGCAGCGCATTGAGAAATGGAGAATGGAACAAAGCCGGGTGCTTCTGCAGGAGATCGAGAAAGCAACGCGCAGACGGCGTGATAGTCGCGCCAGCGGCATCGCCGACCCCGTTGCATCTTATCCGACGGTTTCGGACGTTCCAGATGCGGTCCTTGAGACCCCCAAGGAGTCCGAGTCTGCTTCGACGGCAAAGGAGGAAGAAGACGGGGACGAGTCTCTGTTGCAGCGAATCACCCGCAAGGTCATCCGCGACCTCATCGGGATCGATGATTCGCTGCTATCTGTAATATTCGGGGAATCCTTGCCCTCCACCGAAGATGACGAGCCAATTTCAGCGAGGGAATATGCATCGAACATCGAGGCACTCAACCAGGAGCTGGACTCCGTGCCGGAAGACCACCCTATCTGGCAGAGTAAAGTGCTGCAGCGCATCGCGCACGAGCTGGGGATTCTCGTCAACCAGCTGTGCGAACATCCCGGTGCGTTCACGACCTATCTGAACATGTCCCACGAGATCCCGAATCAGTATGCTGGCATACCTCTCGATCGCGTACCGGAGGAGGCCGACGCACCTTCTGCCTCGGTGGGTCCTACCAATCTGGAGTCCACTATGAACGCAGAATCGGTCCTCTCTCCACACTTTTTGCCTACACTTGGCGACCCCAGTAGCCGAGAACATGCGGCGCAATGGGGCATCGAGGATGACGATATTGTCAATCGTTCAGCCAGCCATTCCGCGGCTGAGCCGCTGGCTGACTCGGCACGCGCCCAACAGGAGAAGGAGTATTGGGAACGAGAGCTGGATATTCGGATGGTCTTCCGGTACCTGCGCAACCGGTTTACCCACCGGGGTAGCAACAACGACTCTTATCACAGCACCCCCCGCAGAGCCCCGCAGGATGCATCTCGCCGCGCGGCAATCATCCGGCAGCACCATCCGCTCGTTGCCCGAGCGCATTCGCGATCTCAAGCGCAGATTCGCCGGCAATCGCAGTACTCGCATCACTCCGGACCAACCGGGGTGTCGTCGCCCATCATGCGCCCGCATTACCGTCGCCCCAGTTCTAGCTGTGCTAGCCAGAGTGCCAAGTTGTCTGCCATCTCCAGCCGCCGGACGCTTACCGGTTCCAGTCGCAATTACTGGGATATCGGGGGCAGTGTGGACAGCGGGAGTGCTGTGGCGCCCGTTGCAGCTGGCCTGGGAGGCTGGGGCGAGGTGTGAGATGAGAGCTGGATCTTTTCATTTGTCTATAGACGCCTCTCTTTTGGATACATATTGCACATTGGCTTTTAATATTTATTTGGATTAATGACTCTACCATATTGGTCCGGTGTTGTGGTGTTTCTAACCCTGAAAGTTTACATACGTCGTACATTGGAATTATGGGTGATTTGCATGTTTTTTCTTGGGCTATATGCGGCTGTATTATGCATTTGCCACATGGTCTATGGCGATTCTGGAACATCCCATATATATTGCACGCACTGTGGCACTTTCCAGCTAGAAGAATTTTCCCTTGGGCGGCGATATTCGGGCGCAGGATGCATTTTGCGCGTGGAAAGGTGCATAACGACGGCGTCAGTGGTAGAGGGGCAGATCTGAACTATGCTTCGGAGCGCATCGGACAGGATCGGAGGAATCAGAAGCACACACTTTTGGCATAGACAAGGGACTGGATGCGAGAAGGATGTACATAGTGTGAATGTGTGAGATATCACTCGGACTAACTGCATGCCACTAGCCTCACTGGAATAAATTTCAGCTGAAGGATGGCCGGCTCAGCCGTGTCACAAATGAATGATTCGGGAAAAAACAATCATGATCGATCCTTGGGCATACAGCCTACCTACTCTGTACTATCTCCTACTGGAGTTAGCAGTGAATCTGCCGGGCGTCCCTTGCCACGGACCATTTCACGCCCCCACTTGCCGTTAGTCGAACCGGAGTGAAGCCATTTAGTTCCCACTTGTCATATCAATTACGGATTGTTCCCCCCGTTGGCGTCTTCGGAGTTCTGTATGGCTCTTTGCTTTGTGGATGACAGGCTGTGACTCGGAACCGAAGTTACAGTTAGTCAATGTGCTAATCGGGTGCTGATAGATCCACTCGTCATCTTTGGGCGCTTTAGCACCATGCGACCTGTTCGGCTGGGCTCTACACCAGTAACCCAGGTGCTATCCCTAGGTCCTTCGAGAGCCATATAAGAAGTAAGTACTATCGCCCTACCCTGCCTGTTTCAGTCCCTTGAGTCATTGCGCAAACCTAAAATCCCTCGATCTTATACCACTTGCACATATCGTTCATGATGATCCTCGACAGTCCACCTCCAACTTTCTCGACCCTCTCTTTGACGGTCAATGACCATCCCCTCAAGCTCTCCACCCTCTATCGCCCTGGACCCAAACCCGCCATACTCTTCCTCCATGGCTTCGGCTCTTGCAAAGAAGATCTCCACGATCTGGTCTACCTCCCTTCATTACGAGACCACACCTTGATTGCCTACGATGCCCCAGGCTGCGGTGCCTCTGAATACTATGGTCCTAGCAGCGACCTGACCATCTCCTTCCTCGTGGCCACAGCCCAAGCCGTGCTCAAGCAGTTCCATATCACCTCCTTCTACCTAATTGGACACTCCACCGGCGCCCTGACAGGCCTCATGCTCGCCGCCTCACTACCCCCAACACAATACCAACTGCTCGCCTTTATCAACATCGAAGGCACCCTCTCCCCAGAGAACTGCTTCTTCACCCGCTCTCTCTACACTGATATCGTCAAATCCTCTTCCCCCTCCACCCCTGAAGACGACCTCCAGAAACTCATCGCCCACGCCCACTCCACCCCAGGCTACTCACATGCTCTCTACGCCTCATTACTGCCCTCCCGCGTGCGCCCTGAAGCCGTCCGACCCCTCGTCACCTCCGCCGTCGAGCTCTCATGGAAAAACCTTCTAGGTCGCTTCCTTCGATTATCCTGCCCGCTCATGTACATGTTCGGGGACCAGAACCGCGAAGTGTCATTTCTGAGTCAATTAGAGATGAAGGGGGTTGAGTTGGCGCAGATCCCCACAAGCGGGCACTTCCCCATGTACTCCAACCCGGCGAAGATGTTACGACGCATCGAGGGATTTTTCCGGGACTGTACTTACGCAGGGAGTAGCAGTAGTGGCAGTGGTGGGAGTTTCTAGGTTGCATTTTTTTTCCTTTCCTTTTTGACTACTCAACCTTCGATTTGATTAGTTAGTTAGATAGATACCTCGTTACGATGTCTCATGATCATTTACCTACCTACATACCATTTAGACAAGCAATGCAATTTTCTGTGAACTTGATTGGACAGTAGATCTACTAGTTAGTGGAAATGGATGGTGTGAGAATACGTAGATACGCACTTAACTTAGCTTAGCTAGCTTAGCTTAGTCTCTTTTTCTTTTCTTTTTCTCTTTTCTTTCCCTCCACCGGGAAAATATATCGAGGGTCCAATGCCGAGGTGAATTGCTTGGCGCGGTAGCCACCACAGCGCGCACTGTAGATAGATTAAGCACCCAGTTTCGCCGAAGAATACCCTGGCTCAGCTGGACTTTGTTCTACTGCAGTAGCTGCAGTAGTCGTTCATTAACACTTTGCAGGAATAAATATGTAGTAGGCAAACATGCAAGATAAGTCCATTCAATCTAAATAAGCAAATCCCGCCCTTCCTCTCACTTGAGTTCTTTCCCCGGTGTACGGATTCATCTAGAAGGGTTTACTATCATTTACAGCTGGTGTTGCCTAGAGAATAGAATAGAGACCCCAAGATGCGCGGAGAAATAATAACTTGTCTGGTCTGAAAGTAGATTCCGGTCTAGTTTACTCCGGAGATGCCTTCCCTCTACTCCGGAAACCCCATGTATTGTTCTCTTTTCCCCCCAACCACCTGAACAGAGAATGGATCGGACATGTGTCAGCTGTGCCAGTGACAGTGACAGTGGGGTGTGGATCTTCTCTTCTTTTCTCCAGTGTACGGAGTAGTACCTAGTCTGTGGTCTAGTTCTACCTCTACAAAACAGGCAACCAGGCACGTGCTCCCCTGGAGAACACTCGATGGTGAGAATTGAAATTGAGATGGAGAGAAGACTACTCAGCTTATTTCCGCGGGCCCCGCTGTTGCCTTAGTTTGCTTTCTTTTTGATTTCTTTTTTTGTGGGCTGCAGTAGTCTAGTCATTCCTTTTAGTCTTACAGAGGAGACTAGTCTACTTATGATTATTGAGTGAGTAAGTGATCCATATGGGTCGGCATATACATATTACGATACACACTAGTAGCTAGTATTGCAAAATTCAAGCATGTATGTATACATTGTCTGTAAAGTATGGCGGTAACATTAGCCGAACTGTTTTGGCGTGCGTTTATGACGGGTGGAGACTGGACTGGTTTTGACTTTAGGCTAATTTTTTTTTTTTGTATTGCGGATGTGCTGCGCGTGGGTGATCCTGGGGATGGGATTGGTTGGGGAGGGGGAGGGGGAAGCTTGGACCAGGTCATATTTTATTTTATTGCCTTACGGTATAGTAGTTAGTCATTCTTTCTACTCTGTATATTTTGGTTTATACCATTGTCTATTTTATTTTCCTGGGAAAGGGGGTAGTAAATGTATATTTCTATTCTCGATTATTTTGTGATATCGATAGCAGTAAAGGATATAGAATTGCCATATCGCACAATATCTACAGTCTACACATCATACACTTAAAGGATACTAAATGCGAGTACCTCCGGCCGAATCTCCCCGATGCAACTAACCCTTAGACTGGCATATATCCCGTCGTTAAGTAATACCCTGTAATCATCACTGCTCACAATCACACTATATTAGTTCGGTTTCATCTGAACCCAGTACATAGTAAATGTGGCTCCTGCATGCAGTACGTTCACTTATCTCCTAGATGTATTGGTCTAGCTAGGGATGGGAAGTTCTCACGCGACTTACTCTTTCACTCTCACTCTAGACTCTGTCTCACTCTAAGTTAATGCGGGATGCTGTATGCATCTATCCAACTCCGTCCTGGGTTCCCTAAGTCTGTGTCTCCACTACCAAAGGGAAAACGGACGGCTAGGATAAGGGCGGGATGGTGAATCACCTACCTAGATGGGCAATATCTCACGCGACAGACATATCATATTCTTTCTTCCCCAACAGACTTTGACATTTACTAACGACAATCACCATTGAGTGTATAGTCCTACCTAATCAGTCACTCAGACACACTAATCAGTCTAACTAAGTTGAGAGTCATCCATGGTATGAATCTAATCCTAATCCCGATAATAACACGGATATGGTTTTCCCGCCTATTCTATTCTACCTACTTAGTAGTCTATCGGAAGTTCGGAACGGTTCCGACTCCACTTCTTTAATTTTTCCCTTTATTCCCTTCGCCGATGTATGTATGCATGAGCTGAGCTGAGCTGAGCTGATACTCACTCTATCATCTAGGTAGTAGTAAGTACTAGACTAGGTAGATACGGTAGTTCAACATGCTGATGGTGTATATCATTCCGCACTTAGTAATTAAAGTAAGACCCTCTTTCAGTGTCTTAGTTATTATAAAGAAGAGAATATATCATCTGAGTAAGTTTCTGTATATAACATTATAAAATCTCATTACGACTCCTATTACTCTCTTAGTATAAAATTCACAATTAAGCTGGGAAGATCAACGGTAAGACGCCACGCCGCTTAAATATTTGGCCGCATTCTTTTTGTACCCTTGCCGGTTGAGACGATTGGGGGGGGGAAAGAATGGATGGGATGGAATTGCTGTAGATTGTCTACACTCTGTTCAGTCTATCGCATATTTCGCAATTAGAGCAGTGATGGCGATGTCAACCACGATATCGATATACTGACTACTACTACTACTACTACTACTACTACTACTACTACTACGACTACTACTACTATAGTACACACGGGTAAAGAAACGGATGTATGCATGTGGGGACGGGATGACACGGGTTCATGTTCCGTAGGCGGGTTTATTCTCGGTGGAGATGACGCTTAGCTGCTATATCATCTTGTAAGAATTATATATATGGTTGTGGGGAGTGTCTATCTATCTATCTACATAGTATTGAATTGAGACCTGGAGATTCAAGGAGGTTGAATATGATTGGGAGGGAAGATTAGTTTGCATGAAGATAACTAGGGCTAGCTATTGATTTGGGGATGATTGGGGTTAGTAAGCGGATGGTTTATTGACCGTCTACGACCGTCGGAGGTCCGGAGTTTTTATAGTTACCGCTGTAGATAGTAGTTTTTAACGGGGGTCACCGTGTTGGGGAGATAGCGCTTATGAAATACTAAGATTAGATTTGGGGGGAGGGAGGGGGGATTTGTTTGTGGTGGGGTTGATGGATGATGGTGATTGTAGAGTCATAGCTGCTGTTGTGGATTGTACGTTGGAGATAGTGGCCACGGCATGTGAAGGGGTTTCCCTGGGAAGAGATAGATACGTAGTAATATAATAGAGTCTGAATGATAATTGCTTCTATGCTCTGGGTATATCCAACTATCTATCATCTATCCATCTAACCAATCACAACTCTCAACTATGTATAAGTCTACCCAGCCAGCGCCTCTCCCACCCAATCCATCTGCACTGCACTCACGCCCCGCGCATAACTGCGATTCGTAAACACAAACTCATTATACATGATCGCTTCGACCTTCTTTCCGAACAGCACACTGGACGGGTGAATCGCCACCGTCTGGTTGCCCACCACCGTGCGGTAGCTACCATCCGGCACCAGACGCGCCGTGTTCGTCGAGAACCCGCGTAGGAAACTCTTCAGGATGTGAATCGGCGATGGGTCGCGGACGGATGTGCTTGCTGCTGAGCAACGGGCATCGTTGGGGAGAAGCTTGGCTTGCCGGCATTGGCTTGTGAGTTGTTTGCGGACGTCCTGTAAATACCCCCAGTTAGTCAAGATTTATTAGAGAGTATAGATGGGGGGCCTCACCATTACGGATTGCATGGCCCGGTGGGAGACCAAATGCCGCTCAGCCCATGCCTTTCGGTCGGTATTCTCCGCAGCGTAGGCCTGTACTGTAGCGAGCATGGTGAGATGGTCACCCTCTCGTCTGTAGAGATCGCGACGCGCTACTTCGGCTTCTTCTTTCTTCTCCTCGGACGTGATGTTTAGGAAAATGTTTTCGACACTGAGACAGGAGATAATGTCAATCACGTCTAGCAAGCACTCTGGGCCATACTCTGAGGCTGCGAGAAGTACGCGACCCAGTGTCGGAGTGAGAGGCAGCTTAGCGATCTGCAACCCGATTTGACTGATCTTGCCGGATTCCTCTAGGGCTTCAATGCTCAGGAGCTGGAGCAGTGCCTTCTCCAAGGCCTCTCGCGGGGGCCTTGTCAGGAAGGGAAAGTTCATAATGTCGTCCACACCGCGGGCTTTCATGTTGAGCAAGGCTTGACTGATGTCGCACCGTAGGATCTCTGGCGTGTTGACCTCATCCAGAGCCAGGTAGTCTTTCTCTGTGTATAGTCGATAGCACTGACCTGGGGCTTCACGACCAGCACGACCCTTACGCTGGATTGCGGCTGACTTGGAGATGGGCTTGACTAGCAGCGAGTCCAATCCGAGACGTGAGCGGAATTGCTTGACCTTGGCCTTTCCGCAGTCCACGACGAATCGTACGCCCGAGACTGTAACGGATGTTTCTGCAATGTTCGTAGCTAGAATGATCTTGCGGGTCCGTGGAGGAGCAGGAACGAACACTCGTTGCTGAGCTGCTTGAGGAAGCGCTGCGAAGAGTGGGAGTACTTGGATCTTGGGCAGCGCTGGATCCATTCCGGTTGCGTACTCGTTGACAAGGTTCTCCAACGCTTCCACCGTCTCTTGACCAGTCAAGAAGACCAGGATGTCTCCAGGCAATGGCTCCTTGTAATGGATCTGGAAGATGACCTTGAGAGCCGCATCAACAAAGTCATGCACCGGTTCGGGAGAGTAGATCGTCTTGACCGGGAACTGACGTCCCTTGATATGGCACACAGCAATATCATCCTCATTCTTCTGGTCTGCGGAGTCCCCATTCGTTTCCTTCTTCGCTCCCTCAATCGCTCGCGGACTTCCCTGGAACCCTTCCTTGAAGAAGCCCATCAGACTCTCCATATCCGCTGTGGCACTCATCACCACGACCTTCAGAGGCACACCACCCCGTCCTTCCCTCTTCCCCGACACCAAATTCCTCAAGAAACCCAGCACTTGATCAACATTGACACCACGCTCGTGCACTTCATCTACCACGATGGCACTATACTTCGTCAACCACGGATCATGCAGC